CCGAAACAGGCTCTCTTTTCAGGGGGGGAGCCTGCTTCTCCCTCTGCCTACTTGTGCTCTCTCTCTGTCAAATAAATAAATAAATAACAAAAAAAACCTTAAAAAAAAAAAATAAAACTAAAGGGAAAACTAAGACATTCCAAGATAAGCATAGACTAAAAGAAGTCATCACTATTAAGACCTACCCTATGAGAAAACTTCAGGCTGAAATAAATGGACACTCTTCACTAACTCAAAGAAAGAACACTAGTAAAGTTGACCATATAGGTAAACATAAAAAAAGACAGTATAAATATATTTGTCTTTGTAACTCTTTTTCTTGTCCTGACTTAGGAAATAACTACATAATGTAATAATTATAAAACTATGCTAATGAGCTTAAAATCTATAAAGATGTAATTTGTGTGACAATAATAGTACAAAGGAGGAAGGAGAGGGATGCCTAGGTGGCTCAGTCGGTTAAGCATCTGCCTTCAGCTTAGGTCATGATCCCTGGGTCCTGGGATGGGGCCCCGTGTTGGGCTCCCTGCTCAGCGGGGAGCCTGCTTCTCCCTCTCCTCCCAGCTCGCTCGTGATCTCTGTCTATCTCACTCTCAAATAAATAAATAAAATCTTTAAAAAAAAAGAGATACACTTTAGATTTTTTAAAAAGTTGAAAGTAAAAGGATGGAAAAAGATGTTCCATGCAAAAAAGAATCAAAGTAGAGCAGAATATGAGAAATTTGTCCTTTTTCTTATTTCCTTGGTAAGTCTAGTTAAGGAATTCTGAATTTTGTTGATCTTTCCAAAGGACCAACTTTTGGTTTTGCCGATTTTCTATATTTTTTTAATTTTCTATTTAATTTTTTTTTATCTAATCTTTATTATTTCCTTCCTTCAGTTTGATGTGGGTTTAGGTTGCTCTTCTTTTTGTAGTTTCTTTTTTTTTATTAGGACTTAATGTTTTTAGAGCAGTTATAGGTTCATAGCAGAACTGAGGGGAAGGTACACAGATTTCCCACATAACCCCATCCCCACACATGTATGGCTTACCCCATTATCAATATCCCCCATCAGAGTGGTACAGTTGTTACAATTAATGAATCTACATTGACCCATTATGATTACCCAAAGTTTATAGTTTACAGTATGATTCACTCTTGACATTACACAGTCTAAGGGTTTGGACAAATTTTTCTAGTTTTTAAAAAAAATTTCTGTAGTTCTTAAGGTGAAAAGTTTTTGGTTATTAATTTAAGACCTTTCTTCTTTATTAATATGGGCATTTATAACTATAAATATCCCCCTAAGCATTGCTTTTACTGCATTATATGTTTTGGTATGTTAAGTTTTGTTTTCATTCATCTCAAAGTATTTTCTAATGTCCCTTGTGACTTCTTTTTGATCCATTGGTTATTCAGTAGAGTGCTGTTCAATTTCTGCATATTTGTACTTTTTCTAAATGTCCATTATTGATTTCTAATTTCATTCAACTGTGAATGGAACTGTCAAGAGTGCACATCTTTGTCTTATTCCTGATACTGGGGGAAATATTTCACTCTTTCACCATTTATTATGAAGTTAATTATTAACACAAACATATGGCCAATTTATTTCTGACAAAAAATGCAAAGGCAAGTAAATGGAGAAAAAATACTCTCTTCAACATATGGTGCTGAAATAAATGGAAATTCATAGGCAAAAAAGTGAACCTTAACCTAAACCCCACACTTTATATAAGCATCAAGTCAAAATAGATCATAGATCTAAATGTAAAATATACAATCATAAAACTGTTTAAAGAAAAAATCTTATTCATAATCTGCTGTCAGACAAAGAGTTCTTCGATATGGGAAAAAAAGCATAATCCATGAAAGAAAAAAACCCTGATAATTGGATAACTGGATTGTATCAAAATTTTAAAACATTTGCTCTGAGACAAAAAACTTGTGTACTAAAAACTACAAAATGGTGCTGGAAGAATTAAAGATACAAATAAATGCAAAGACATCCCATGTTCATGAACTGAAGACTTAATATATCGTTAAGATGTCAATATTACCCAAAGTGATATACAGATTCAGTATAATCCCTATCAAAATCCCAATGACATTTTTTTCCAGAAATAGAAAAATCCATCCTAAAAATCAAATGGTGTCTCAAGGGTTCCTAAATAGTGAAAATCTTGAAAAAGAAGAACAAAGTTGGAGGTCTCACACTTCCTGACTTCAGAACTTACTACAAATCTATGGTCATTAAAACAATGTGCATGGCACTGGCATAAAGACAGACATGTACACCAATAGAATAGAATGGAGAGCCTAGGAACAGACTCATATATTTATGGTCAAATGATTTCTGGAGAGGATGCTAAGAACATTCAATGGGTAAAGGACAGTCTTTTCAACAAGTAGTATTGGGAAAACTGGATTATCAACATGCAAAAAATGAAGTTGGATCCTTACCGTATGACATATACAAAAAATTAACTCAAGATGGATCAAAGACCTAAACATAAGAGCTAAAACTACAAAACGCTCAGAAGATAACACAGGAGAAAGCCTTTATGACATTAGATTTGGCAATGATTTATTGGCCACAACACCAAAAGCACAAGTAACAAAAGAAAAAACTAACAAATTAGACTTCTTCAAAAATATAAACTTTTGTGCATCAAAGGACACTATCAACAGAGTGAGAAGGCAACTCATGAAATGAAGGGAAATACTTGCAAATTATTTATCTGATGAGGGAATCAATATTTAGAATATACAAAAAAAATCCTACAACTTAACAATAAATAAACAACCAGTTTAAATAATGGGCAAAGGACTTACATGGACATTTCTCCAAAGAAGATACACAAAAGGCCAAAAAGCACATGAAAAAGATGCACAACATCACTAGTCATTAAGGAAATGCAAATCAAAACCACAATGAAATACCACTTCACACCCATTAGGATGGCTGTCACAAAAAAGAAGAAAAGAAATTAAGTGTCGACAAGGGTGTGGGGAAATTGGAATCCTTCTTCATTGCTGGTGGGCATGTAAAATGATATAGCCTCTATATGTATGGGGGTTCCTCAAAAGATTAAACACAGAATTACCATACGATCCAGCAATTCCACTTCTGGGTATATACTCAAAAGAACTGAAAGCAGAGACTTGAGCAGACACGTGTACATCCAGTTTCATAGCAGCATTATTTACAACAGCCAAAAGGTAGAAGCAACACAAGTGTCTACTGACAGACGGAGGGCTAAACAAAATGTGGTACGTACATATAATGGAATATTCTTCAGCCTTAAGAAGGAAGGAAATTCTGACACATGGATGACCTAGAAGACATTAAGTGAAATAAGCCAGACACAGAAGGCCAAATACTGTATGATTCCACGTATATGAGGCACCTAGAGCAGTCAAATTCACAGAGACAGAAGGAATGGTGGTTGCCAGGGGCAAAGGGGAGGAGTATAAGGGGAAATGGTGTTTACTGGGAACAGAGTTTCAGTTTGGGAAGATGAAAAAGTTCTGGAGATGGATAGCGATGATGGTTGCAGAACAATGTGAATATACTTAATGCCACAGAATTGTACACTGAAAACTTGGTTAAAATGGTCAATTTTATGTTAGGTATATTTTACCATGATAAAAAAAAAAGTTTGTTCTGCAAAAGACACTGTTAAGAGAATGAAGAGATAAGCTACAGACTGGGATAAAATATTTGCAAATCATATATCCACCAGAGAATTGCATTTAGAATATATAAAGAACTCTCAAAAGTCATAAAGAAAATAAACAACCCAATTAAAAAACAGCACAAGATTTGAACAGACACTTCAGCAAACAGGATAGAAGGATGGCAAATAAGCACATGAAAAGATGTTCAACATCATTAGCTATTAAGGAAAAGCAAATTAAAACTACAATGAGATACCACTTCACAGCTACTAGAAGAACTAAAATAAATACCAACAATACCAAATGCCAACAAAGATGTAGAGCAACTGGAACTCTCATACATTGCTGGTGGGAATGCAAAATGGTTCAGCCACTCTGGAAAATGGTTTGGCAGCTTCTTATAAAGTTAAACAGACACTTACCATATGACCCAGTAATCCCACTCCTAGATATTTACCTTAGAGAAATAAAAATTTATGTTCACACAAAAACCTGTACAAAAATGTTCAGTATCAGTATTATTCACAGTCACCATAACCTGGAAACAGCCCAAATGCACTTCAATGGGTGGATGGATAAACAAACTTTGGAATAGCCGCACAATGGAATGCTACTCAGCAAAATGAATGAACTATTGATACACACAACTTGGATGACTCTCAAGGCATTACACTAAATGAAAGAAGCCACACTTAAAAGATGACGTATTGTATGATTCCATCTTTATGACATTCTTTAAAAGACACAACTACAGTGATGGAGAACGAATCAGGGATTGCCAGAGATTATGGGTGGAGTTGGGGGTGACTATCAATGGATGGGATGAGGGATTTTTAGCGTGATGGAGCTGTTCTCTATCCTGATTGTGGTGGTTACATGAATCTACATGATTTACATGATTTACAATTCATAGAATTGTACACCAAGAAAAAAAAGAAAGAAAAACAGGCAATTTTATTGTAAGTTCATTTTTAAAATAAAAGTAAAAATTGCTATTATATCATCATCATCATCAATAGTTATACTTTAGTGATTAATAAAAATATTCAGAATTAGTTGTGAAATAGGATCTAAAAGTCATTAAGGTCATTTTATATCTGGTACAATAACGTAAAGGTAGAGAGAGAAAAAAATCAACAACACTAAATGTAAAAGTTTTACAACTTCTACTAACTCCTCCCTTTAATATTCTTTATCAGGATAAATTGCTCCCTCTGGATCATTTCCTACAAACATTGTCATTTACTGAATATGGAATTAAATAAGCACTCGACTCAGAAGTCTGGGACCCTTTGTTACATTCCTAAATCTAACACTGTAAGAAAACTCTCGACTTGCCTTTTGTGCCTAATTTTATCTTCCTCTTCATTGAGGTCATGTACTTGTCTGCACTTGTCTTTTTGTGGTATGCTGTGAAGGTTTAAAGCAAGGAGTTTCAAAGATAGGAAACAGAACAGATTCATACACCACCCACCCACCCCAAATACCAGGTACTGCTCTAAGTGATTTACATGTATTACCTCACTTAATCCTAACAACCCTATAATGTAGGTATTATTAATATTCTCATTTTACAAGATGAAGAAATTGAAGTGTAGGGTGGTAACTTGCCCAACATCTTATAACAAGCTAGTTAAGTGGGGGAGCCAGGATTTTTCCAGCAATCTGCCTCCAGAGCCCATGCTCTTCATCAGTATGCTAGGTCTCTCCACAAGAGGCTGTTCACTGGTTCTTTTATTCCTTCCTTCACCACTGCTGTTCCATGTCTATGGTCTCTCTGTCTCTAACAAAGCATTCATTCATGCTCACGGCTTTACCTGCCACCTGAGTGTCCATGATTCCCACTTCTGTGTATGTAGCCAGCTCTGACCTCTCCCCTGAGCTTCCCTGCTGCATTTCCTACTGCCTCCTCAATATGTGCGTTTAATGATCCTGCCATTCTTACCAATTCAACATATTTCAAATTGAACTTATCATCTTTTGTCAGAAACTCCCCATAAAGATTTTCTTAATTTTGCCAGTTGTTAGAAAGTCACACAGACTTGAAAACATCTGGGTTGTCTCTGACCTCTCCTTTGACCCTCCTCCTTCATTCTCAGTCAATAAGTCTAACCAGTTCTTCCTTTGTGATGTCTCTTATAACCACACCTACCTCTCTTTCCGATACCACTGCCATCATTCTAGTCTAGACCTCCGTGCCTATACGACTGTAATGCCTCCTAAATCATTCTCCCTGCTTCCAGTTCTTTCTCTCTCTCATCCTCTTTCTTGGCCACCAGATTCATCATTTTCAAATACTGCTTTTCAGGTTACTCCTGACTCAGAATCCTTTCACCATATCCAAACTAACTGAATAACTAACTCTGTATAGGTCTCTACTACCCACCAAATAAAGTTCAAAATTTTTAGCTACCTTCCTAACCTGGTCTTTCACAACAGCCCCAAGCACGCCATTGTGCTCATACCACCTGCTGCAAATGAACTGCCTTTCCTTCTCCTTACTATAGAATAGGTAGTATTAAAAGAACATTGAAATCTTACCTCCTCTGAGAGGCCTTCTTCAGTCATGCCAATGCACAGTGGCCTTTCCCTCCTCTGAAGTCCTACAGCACTTAACAACTACATCTAGTGTCGTCACTAAATGTTACATGGTTCTCTTTCCAACCAGACTGTAATTGCTACAAAGTCAGGGACGATTTCCTAAACTTCTGCACACCTCCCACAGCACCTAGCAAAACTTATCTGTTAAACCAGTGCTTTCTGGTTAAGATGCATACCATTTATCTATATATTTTGTGCTCATTTACAGTTCGGCCCAAAGATCCTTCACAATCTAGCCTCACCTCCCTTTCCAGTGTCACCCCCTCTCATCCCCTGCTGTGTCCTATACTTCCTGCCACAATGAACTTCTTATTGTTCCCTAGATGCACCAGGTCCTTTCACAAACCTGTTCCTGTTCACCTACTATCTGTAATGCCCTCTGCCCCGTATTTACCTGACAAATGACTGTTGCTCTGTCAAGACTTAGTACAAATGTCAACTCCTGACTCCCCCTGCAAACTAGGCTTTGATGTTCTATGTTCTGTGCTCCCTTAGCATTTTATTCACATCTCTGGAACAGTGATTTCCATGTGGTATCACAACTGACTATGTACATATTCGTCTCTATCACGGACCTATATACATTCCTCAAGGAGAGTGATCGTTTGTCTTTCCCCAACTCCCTTCCCTAACTCTTCATATTTAATGTCCTGCTGTTAAATCTTTCTCTCAGTGAAAGAGCACATCAAAGTCACTGGCGATCACATACCTTGGTAATAAAGAGCCTTGAGGAAGGAGTGCCGATCAGCTCCCTGAAATAAAGACTTTTCTATTTCCATTTCTCGCCGGGTCAGCTGTTTGCTCTTGGCAAATCTCTGTGGCAGGCAAAGGATGCGCTGACGCTCCGAGATCCTTTCTTCAATATCTTGAAGACGGTTCTGTATTGCTTCCGGGGTTGCCCTCAGTCTTGTCCTCTGAAACCAGAGAAATGAGATGGCATGTATCATAGACGACATAGCCTGAAAGTGATAATCTAATGCCTCAGATAAGAAAGAAGCTGGTGAAGGACCAGAGGTGACTATTCATAGACGTGTTAGCTAAAAAGTCAAGAAAGAGCGTCTCTTTACCAAGGTCCCTATCGCAGAAACCAAAGAAAATTCAGATACAGAGCTCAGTTTTGTAAGAACTAAAAATGAAAAGGTTCTCGACCTCGCCCTTTATTCTTCAGGAAAAAAAAAAAAAAAAATGGCCCCACTCACCTTTTCACCTGAAACATGGCTCTTCCAGATCAAGATTTCTGTTTCATTGAGCCCTAGTTCCCTAAGAGAAGCAGTTTCCTGGTCCTTCTCATGCAGTGTCTGGAACTGGGACAAAGTCATAGTCCCAGCTGCTTCCTTCCCAAAGGGCTTGTACATAGTACCAGGAGCAAAACTCTCTTTCTTAGACACACATCTGCAAGACAAGCAGGAAGCAAGTAAGCATATCTTCAAGTTACCACAATTTACAGAAATAGGGCTCGCCATTAAAAGAGGCACAATGAAACGCACTGGCAATTTCTCTCTCATGTCCTATTTCTAGGCTGTAGCATCACTGCAATGACATGGAATTCCATTGCTATTCCCCTCACCCAGGACCAATAAATGACTGAATCAAATATTTATTTACTGAGTACCTACTATGCTTCAGACACTGGGCCAGGTACCAAGGATTTAACAGTAAAAAAAGATAAAAATGGTTTCTGCTTTTGTAGAAGAGAAGCAAGTAAACAGGCAATGATCCTGTTGGGTTGTAAGTGCTATGTACATTAAGGGAAGACATAGGAAAGGCACTGGCTCAGACTTAGTGGGATATGGGAAGCTTCCCAGAGTAAGAGACACAGAAGCAAAATGCTGCCTAATAAGTAGACGTTGGCCAAGGAAAGAGGGGTGGGAGAGGAGTGTTTCATCTGGGCTTTAAGAGGGGTCGGCCACCTGGAGGTGAGGGTCTATGATACTCTACCTGTTTGCAAAATCAATACCTACTCCTCAATGGAGACAGAGGTATCAAGTTGATGCTGAAGGAGGCTTTTCAGCTGCCTCTCCCCTTCTGTTTCCAACTCCTCCAGGACATGCTCACCACTCTTCACACAGCTATTTACCCTGGAGTAGATATAAGAATGTATACAGAAAGTAGAAGAGACAGTCAATCTCAAAACATATTCTTTAGCTATATTATCTACCAGTAGTGACCCCATTTGTTTGAAGACACTTTTCTGTTTGTTGCCCTTTATCATTCATCCCACAACCAGTTACTAAATACCTACTTACACGCAATGCACTGTGCTAAGTACTGATGGAGTCAAAGATACTCAAGACACAGTCCCTATCCTTAAGAAGCTTGCAATTTATTTAGGGTATGTGTGTATGTGTTGTTGTGTTGTGTGCCTGTGCGGGGAAGGAGGGAAGGGAGAGAGGGAGGGAGGGGGAGAGAGGGAGGAAGAGAAAAGAAGAGAATTGGGAGCTAGGGTGGTAAATGAAGACTTTGGAAAGGTAATTCTTAAGCTGGCATTTGAAGGACTGGGTATGATGAAGGGTAGAACAGGGAGACTGAGTAGAAAGAGAAATATGTTCTGGGGCATAATAAGTTCACTTTAGTTGGCATTCACATATGAGAGCACTAGGAGATTATCTTGGAGGGGGTAATTAGACACAGATTATGAATGGCCTTAAATATTCCAACTAAGGGGCCTGGACCTTCATGTATAGGTATTAGAAAGCAATTTATTAGGCAGTTAAGTGACACAGTACAAATGATGGTTTAGGAAAATGAATGTGGTTATAATATGTCTTGTAGATTCATAGGAAAGAAACCAGAAGAATGAGTTAGGAAACTCTAAATTTATCGAGCATAACGTGATGGAAGTCCAAACTGGAGTGGTAATAGTGGAAACAGAAAGGAAGAGTTAGATGAGCAAGGCCTTTTGAAGGTAGGGGTAAGGAAGAGGTCAAACATAACCCTGAAATTTCAAGCTGTGTAACTATGAGAATAATGGTACCAATGAAGGAAAGAGGAAGATCCAGGTGGAATAAATGGTTTGGGAACAGGAAAGTCAGTATTGTCTTAGCCATGCTGAGTCAACTACCTATTACAACTGAAACACCAGTACAAAATATCAGAATACTTCAAAGACATATTGAGTCTGAGGTGACAGTGTAAATGATATTGGCTAATAGGAAAGCAAGAGATGGAAGAATTGTATAGATGAGAATCTGAGGCTGAACATGGAAATCTCGAGTCATCTGTGTTGGCAGAATCTGGAGCTGTGAAAAGAGGAGATTTCCAAAGAAGAGAGTATAGAAACAAATGGGAAGAGGATCTTGACATTTTATAGCTAAGGCACTACTCTGTAGAAATCTAGGTAATGCTATAATCTACCCAACCCTAAATAACTGAAAAACTCTTACTAGAGTGTAAAGAAATAGCAGGACCAGTAGAGCATGCAACAACAGGTGACAATAGACAAAAACAAAATGAGTTAATTCCATGAGAAAACCAAATATGAAATACCTTCTTTATTAAAAAAATCCCCTACTATTCGGGTTATGATGTATCTCTCATAATTATAAGCAAGATTCCCATGCTCTAGAAAGACTGAGACCTATTTTTAGAAAACTTTAAAATATCCTTAGGCCCAGGGTTTTAAAAAACTTCCTTTTAAGTATCTCAATTTGTATTTATTATTTAAAATTCTGAAAGTTCTTGCTACGTTTAAAGTGGCTTTGAAAGGAAAAACCATAGCTAACTACATTAGTACACATGAATCTCAAAAAGAAATGCTGAATGAAATAAAAGCAAGTTGCAGAAAAATTCATACAATATGTGTCTATTCATATAGAGTTCAAAAATGGATAACACTAGCAACATTTTGTTTAGGGATAAATTCATCTGTGGTGGACCTATTTTTTTTTTAAAAAAAGCAAGGGAATGATTAATGCCAAATTCTGGACGGTGGTCCCCTCAGGGAGAAAGGAGGGAGGAGAAGCAATCAGGGAGGGGCACACAGGGGACTTCTAAGACCCTGCTAATGTTCTATTTCTAAAGCCTGTAGTGGGTCCGAGTCTATTATTATTCTTTAAACTGTATATATACATTATTTTGCATGTATGAAATATCACAATAAGCATGTTTTAAAAGTCATTTTGAGGCAGGGAAACGGTTTTTTAAAAGATGCAGAAACTGACAGTACAGGAGAGCATAATATATATCAGAACTTTCAATGCACCGCCCTATTCCAGAGTGATTATTCTACTTTGCAGTGAATCCAAAACTAATTTAATGAAGATCCTTTAAAAAGCCATTGTGTACTGTCAACAACTGTGAAGCTCAGGCTTTCAACAATGACCAGCCAAGTTAAAACTGCCATTTCCTGCAGCACCGGTAGGGGGAACTGCTTACAGCAGTGCTTTTCTCTTCCTATGATATATTGAGCCCGTTTTGTACTTTCCGTCTAAATTTTTAGAAACAAAGTATCAGTAGCTTAGGTTAAGATCTGAAAGCGCTACATGCTCTCAGGGCCCGAGAAAGTCTTCCTCAGTAAACAAACACTGCAAAGAAAAAAAAAAAAAAAGGCGCCCACCCTGTGCCCCTTTCCGAGGATGAGGTGGAGGTAGGGCGGGACGGGGAGGAGCTGGCCTGGGTCTCTCCCGGCGCTGGGCATCAGTCGGCCAAGACCCTTTTACCTGGGTGGGTCCGTCTGAAGCAGTAAGAAGCCACGGCATCCGTGCAGCTCCCGGGGCCGGCGCCGTGGCCTAGATGCCCGTGCGGGTAAGGCATTCCTACGGGAGCCGGCGGCGGCGGCCCTTCCTGAACTTCGCCCCGCAGGCCTGTCTAGCCCGTCTCCCCTCCTCCCTCCTCCTTTGTCTTCCCGCTCACACGAAACCGCATCCCGAGAACGTGACATACCCCAAACACAAAGTCATGAAAGCCATTTTCAAAGTTAAAAGGTAGAAGAGAGCTCCCTTCGCCGCCTGCTCTCAGACAAGCCCTTACCTCTTCATGTTTCCACAGGCCCCTACCTCTAACTTGGATGAATAGGCCGCGGACTTCAAGTCCCAGAACTCTGTGCGGCCGACTCTAAGGGGATTGTGGTGGAGTGCGGGGCTCTGGGAATTGTAGTCGCTCAGAGCTAAAGAAACGGAAAGAGAAAATACCTACTGAGTAAGGGGTATGTTGTAAATTGTTCAAATGTTTCTCCTACGGGTTAACGGCAGCACCCAAAATATCCAGCTCATAAAGCTAGGAGTCACCTGAGACTTCCTGACTGTCTCATCCAAATCCTGGCTCCTCTACTTTTCCTCCAATGTATGCCTATTTACCCTGCTTCGGCTTTCAAGGACTTACTATCCGGCCTACCTGCTGCTTCCGGTTGGGCCCCAGGTCCATCTTCTGCAGTGTAGCCCGTGATCAGACACAAGTTTGACCACATCACCTGCATTAATGGTTCTCCTCTATCTGTAACAGAAGCTTAGGAGACATTGTACTTCCTACCCTGAGAATCAGAAGTCCGTATGAATGTTTTGTTGATAATTATGTTGAATCAAGAGAGAGGTATAGCATAGTGGTTAAGACCATGGGCTCTGAGTTCCCAGAAATGGAAATACAAATGTCCCTAAGTATATGAAAAGAAGTCCAATCTCACTTATAAGTGCGATGGAAATTTCAAAGTACACTGACTATAAAATACATGACCTGTACTCCTCAAAACTGTACAGGTCATCAAAAACGTGGAAAGTCTGAGAATCTGTCAGCCGAAGGAACCAAAGAAGACATAATGACTAAATGTAATGTGGTATCCTGCATGGGACTCTGGCACAGAAAAAGGGCTCTAGGTAGGGGTAGACGAACCATGAGAGACGATGGACTCTGAAAAACAAACAGGGTTCTAGAGGGGAGGGGGGTGGGAGGATGGGTTAGCCTGGTGGTGGGTATTGAGGAGGGCACATTCTGCATGGAGCACTGGGTGTTATGCACAAACAATGAATCATGGAACACTTCATCTAAAACTAATGATGTAATGTATGGGGATTAACATAAGAATAATAAAAAAAAGGGCTCTAGGTAAAAACTAAAAAAATATGAATAAATTATGCACTTTAGTTAATAAGATTCATTAGATGTGACAAATATACCAGAGTTATATAAGATGTTAACACTTAAGGTTAACTGAGTGGAGGTATACAGAACTCTGTACAATACAACTTTTATGTATATCTAAAACTGTTCTAAAAAAGTTTATTTTTATTTTTAAAAAGTACACTAAAATAACATTTTCACCTACAAGATTGGTAAAGATCCAGAAGTTTGAGGGTACATTACTTTTGTTGAGATTGTGGGAGATTAAGCACTCTCATTACACTGTTGGTAGGAACATAAATTGGTACAACCTCTATGGAAGGTAATGTGAAGATACAATTGAAACCATAAATCTCCATTCCCTTTAGAACAGAAATTCAACCTCTATGAATAGTATCCTCAATACTATATATCCTCAAGTATGTGTGTGAGTATGTATAATATGTATATGTACATATGTATTTTATGTGTATTTCACACACATATACAGATACATAGGTATATATTTTATATATAAAATTATTTACTGCGACATTGTTTATAACAAAATGTTGCAAACAATTTAAATACCCACAAATGTAATAAATCCATTCGATGGAAAACTATGCAGCAGTCCCAAAGATGACTAAGTTCTCTATGGACTGCTACTGAACAATATAAACTATATTTAGTGCAATAGCCAGGTGCAGAACAGTATCTATAGTATGCTTCCATTTGTGTAAAAAAAAAAATGGGGGGATTATATGTATGTATTTGCTTGTGTATGCATCAAATACCTCTGGGAAAACCTATAGACCGGTGATAAGTGAATGCTTCCAGGTAGGGGAGCTGGATGGTTAGCGAAAAGGATGGGGAAAAACTCACTTTTTGTACCCTTTGATTTTTGAATCACATGATCATATGTATTACCGAGTCAATAATATTTTTCTTATTAAAGGGAATGCTTCTTGTACCACAAAGAATTAAAAAAGAAAAAAAATCATGTGTTTGGGGAACACACAGTTTGGATTTCTCAGTTCCCACAGTTAGAGACAACATAGCAGGCAGTCTGGACTTGAGCGTTTGCTTTGGCAAGTTACAAGACTATGTAAGTTTCGGGCGCCTGGGTGGCTCAGTTGGTTAAGCGACTGCCTTCCGCTCAGGTCATGATCCTGGAGTCCCGCATCGGGCTCCCTGCTCGGCGGGGAGTCTGCTTCTCCCTCTGACCCTCCTCCCTCTCATGCTCTCTGTCTCTCATTCTCTCTGTCTCAAATAAATAAATAAAATCTTTAAAAAAAAAAAAAAAAAACCAAGACTATGTAAGTTTCACTAAGTTTCTTTTTAACTGGCCTAGGCCAGTTTCCTCACCTGTAAAATTGGGATAGTACCTCTGAACAGGGTGACTGTCAAGTGTTATGTAAAAGTATGGTTTTAAAGTCACTTGATAGGCAGTCATCTATGAGCAAATATTCTGTTATCCGATAGAACTTATCCAAACTTTCTGTACTTCCATGCTCAAGTTAGAGGGTAAGACCAAAGAGCAGTTACTGGAAGACATCGTGCTTCCTATCCTAAGAACTTCTTACAGATTGAAAAGGTCATGGAAAGCATTTGAGTTATCCAAAACCTGTTATATGCAAATGACTGTGTTCTTGAAGTGCACGGGTGAACGAATGCTGATATAACATATACTATTTTGTGGCTTTGGCATAAGAGCATAGACAGAATGTAAGCATACACAAAGCATGGATCCTACCAAAGCCTGTACCAGGTAAATCCTATGTGGTGGTGAGGCTGAATTCTGCTGCTCAACCAAACTGTCCAACTGACGTATCAATCACTAAGTAGATGGGAAAATTGGCCGAAGTTGCTGGTGTGTTTTGCCCCCTGGGGAAGTGGCAAAGGGTGGAACAAATACTACACTGATCATCACACCAAACATGTACACACCTTCTAATAAGACAGCCATCCTATTGGCACAGAAGTGATACACACTTTATTAGGAATCCAGTAGGTGGGATGAGTGGAGAATAAATGGCTAAAAAGATATGTAGGGTGGAATTGCAACTTGAAAGCAAGGTCATGAGGAAGTACTCTCTGAATCTGTGTATAACTGTAACCAGTCCCAGTGGTTGGTGCCAAGGGACAAACATTCAGAAAACTGCACTAGAAGGAAAAACAGGCTATTTCTAGTTCTGCCAAACTTATTAACTGTGGAATAATAGCTATTCCATTTCCCACAGCATGCCTTTCCCTGCTTTAAAAGGGAGACAGTGTATAAAGGCTTTGAGACAGTTTATAAAAAGCTTTGAGAGTTCTAGATGTTATTCATGAGTACAGAGATCCTACCATGAGGTAATTTCACAATTTCACCCCAGAAGAATTTGTGACAAACTGAAAAATATGCCTCATTTGTCTTTCTGACAATTTAATAAGGTTCATTTAATTAAGCCAGAAGTTCTTCCTTAACATAGACATATTTTCAGTGTTTGTCCTTTTTAGGTGCTTTGTTCGCAGCACACTTCTGATGAATACATTATGAAGCAATTATAATTTCCAGATACGGAAGAAGATGCTAAAACCAAAAATCTTCTCTTGAAGAGGGATAGCATCACTCATCCAACATTAAGAGTAATCAATTGTGCATGTCTTTCAAATTCCCCAAATGAGATAGCATAAATGCTATTATAGAGAAAATAAATATAGCATCTTTTTCAAAAGGCGAAGAAAAGTCTAAAAGTGTCAAATTTAAGAACACAACAAATTTAAGGACTCTTCCTTCAGCTGATATCCTAGCTGGTCTTTAATAATGGTTAGGAGAGGCTCAAGACTCCAGTACCTAACAAAAATGTTGCCTTAACATGGATTATTTGTGATCTTTTAATTAATATTTGTTCAGCAGTGTCATGTCTTCTAGACACATGTTAGAACCCAAGTCAGAAGGAACCTTAGAGATGAATTAGTCCAAGGCTCCAGATTCCAGACAGTACACTGAGATCTACCAGTAAATCTTACATTGTTAACTGTATTGATATGGAAGCCACTCTCCACCCATTGTTCATCTATGTCCTGGGGAAAAAAAAAAAAAAAAACAACCTAGAACTCCCCGTGCAAATTCAGTAGGAGTACTTGAGCCTCTCTTATTTTACTGAGGAACTTTAGAGTAATGTATCATTTGTGAAAGGACATAAAGGAATCACAAAACTTCAGAGAAATGAAAACGTGTTTCTTTTACTTGGAGAGACCTTATTCATATGGTTAAATGCTTTCATGGGATAGATGAAAGATGATGCCCAAAGTGAAATTATTTGTCCAGTTAATTAAGTAGGGACAAGACTAAATCCGGTGTTTCCTCTAACATACCATGTACCTTTTACTGAATGTAGAACTTAATTCATACAGCAACTACTTTATAAGAGTTAAATCTCCAAAAACAATAAGGAAAATGTCTTTATCTAGGGTATAACAGAAATAACACTAGGCTCAAAAATTGGAGATTAACCAAAATTATAGTCCAAAGCTCTTTACCTACAGAAATCATCCACAAAATTAAATGATCTCTGGATTATTTTCATATTCTAAAGTTTTGAGTGGTAACAAAAACTTACCTGATAAACTGCTGCTTTGAGAAGTTTGGGTAGGAATGAAAAGGCCATGTAAACTGATATTTAGTTTACATATAAGGTGGTAAAAATCACTAATACTCATTTCAAGGATATTTTCTTCCTGTAATATGTACCCCTCAGGATGGTCATGTGCAGTCAGTATTACAGAAATTTAGCTCAGTAGTTACAGGCAACTAAGCTCTAGTCACTCACGAACTTTTAAATAAGTTTGCTTTCATGTTATACATTTATTTTTTAGAATATCACCTTTATTTATGACTTAGGTAAAACATGCAACACAAGAGATCAGACTGTTCCCAAGCTAAGAACAAGGCTTTTTCTTGAAAAACAAACAAATACACAAAAGCCAGCAACTATAAGTCATATGCTAAAACCAAATAAAATACCAGGTTATCTGTACATCAAAAATAAATGAATTGCCTGAACCTTACCCTTTTAAAAATAACCTAAGACCTAAATCCGCTCTAATGTTTCTTCTTCTCTGAATTTCTACAGAACACTTTCTGTAATTTATAACACACTTCTTTGTATTATCTATACTGTTTTCATACAGACAGGCATTAATTATATCTCAAACTAGACAGTAAGTTCCTTTGAGGAAAAAGACTACAGTATCTAGCACTATATGTTGAAAGTTAACAGGGACCCAGTAAAGGCTGGCTGGCATCTATTTCTTGGCAAACATTTCTCGATGATCCGTTTAAAGGAAGAAGGACAATGTGTGCTGCTGGTAGAATATGGAATCTAGGAGAGTTTAAGATACGAATTACACACACGGAGTCAATATCTAATAGGTTGCTGCCTAGAGCCAAAAGGGCCAACATAGTTATGATCTGCTAATACTACAAGCCAAATTACAGTTTAATTCTCAACAGCACAATATTTAAATGGAAAAAAAAAAAAAAAAAACCACGTGCAAACTTCATTGCAACCAAAGATTAAGTAGTTAACTGTGAATACTACTCTATTTCACACCACCACAATTTGTAGATAATGTATAATCCCAAAACAACATGCTGAAGATACGGTCATTCAATCAAAAGCAATTCTGATATTGTGTTCTTGCTCTGTGCGACGATGATCCTCAAAAACCTGTGTTACCTCTTCTACTTTCCTTTGCAGCATGCCTACAGGAGGAAAAGTCATGTATCATTAATCCGAGCTCAAAATGTCCCAGGAACCTAATAGCTTACATTCTCACTTCAACATGATTTATAAAACATCAATTTTATTTAATAGCTTTAAGTATTAGAATATACAGGGAAAAATCATCTATCTGTTTAGAAACTATAAAAACAGTGAACAAGACTCTTCTTGATTTCCTCTAATTTTCTGGTAAATAACCGTCTACTTGACATTTATATTTTGTTGAAGAGAAGTGAGAACTGCTTTTTACTCATTACAGCTTCAAAGTGCTATACAAGGTGGTCATTAAATTGAGGGTATAGATTTTGGTAGAGGTCTTTGCCGTCCATAAGCAAATTAGTACACATAGTATATTCACATTTCTGTCCCTTTCTAATGATTTACTTAACTTGGTGGTCAATTTGCTCAGGGGCAGAGCAACACAAAATACCATTAATTTTACCATATAAAACAGCAACATTCTGTAGTAAAAATAAGCTGTCAAAGCAAGCATGATAATCTAGATTTTTCTATTAAGGAGCAGTTGGTCATTTGTGTTAGTGTTCATTAATGCTTACTAGTCAATAAGCAATAGCTGGTGCCAAAGATTTAAAATAAAAACTTTACAAGAGAAAAACTAAAAATTTGAAACAATATACTTTAGTTTTCTTCAGCCAATTGGAAAAGCCCCAATGTTATTCAGTTTTAAAGTATAAGAATACATCATCCTATCTTATGACATACAGGCATTTTGCAAGATCACACCTTAAGAACAAGTATTTTAAATGATGGTTGTCTACTGAAAGGCTAGAAAAACAGAGTACATTGAGCCTGGCAAAATACATCTCCTTTTCCTTCTAATAACTGCAGGGTGCAATTTTTTTTTTTTACCACTAAATAACATTTTTCAATGTGATAGAAGCACAACGAGCACTATAACAAACCATTAACTTGAGGCCGGAAGTGTCAACATAAGCAAAATCTACTTAATTTGCTGATTGATAATGTATTAAGTGCAAAGGAGTACATTTATAAAAATTTTAAAAATCAATGAAATGTCGAGCAACACAAGCCAGCATTATTAAGAGAGCTCTACTATAAACATTTTGTCATGTCTTCAAATTGAATTCTCAAGACTATTTCTATATTAACATACTTTAAATTTTTTAGGAGTTTCATTATTTGAGGGCAAAAACTGCACCTACACACTTAACTGCCCAGAGTTCAGTTCCCATGACATGCATCGGTGATTGGTTCCTGTAGGCCTATGAAATAATACACCATACTAGAAGATAAATGCCAGTAATAGTCAGAATTTGGGGGAAATACACCATACACATTTTGAGATTAAAATGAACTGTACTGGACAATATGAAAATGAAATTAAGAAAGCAATTCCATTCACAACAGCATCAAAAAGAATTAAAACACTTAGAAATAAACCCCTATCAAATGAAGTATAAGACCTGTACACCAAAAAATACAAAACATCGCTAAGAGAAATTAAGAAGATCTAAAGAAATGAAGAGATATCCCATGTTCATGGACTGAAAGACTCCACAGTAGTAAGATGGCAATCCCTCACAGGTTGATCTACAAATTCACTGTAATCCCTATGAAAATTCCAGCAGGCTATTTTTGTAGAAATAGAAAAGCTTTAAAATATACATGGAAAGGACCCAGAATAGCAAAGCAATCTTGAAAAAGAAGACTAAATTGCAAGAATTACACTACACAATTTTAAAACTTACTACAAAGCTACATTAATCAAGATGGTGTAATACTGGCATAGGATAGCCATAGAGATCAGTGGAACAGAAAGTCCGGAAATAAAACCTTATATTTATGGTCAATCATTTTTGATGAAGGTGATAAGGCAATTCAGTGGGGGAAAACATAGTCTTTTGCAACAAATGGTGCAGGGACAACTGGATACCTACATGAAAATGAAGTTGAATCCCTACCTCTTAACTCTGCACAAAAATCAACTCAAGGTGCATTATGGACCTATAAGAGCAAAATTATATTTGGAAAATAAAACCCAAATGTCAATCGACTGGTGAATAGATAAGCAAAATGTGGATATCCACACACTGGAATGATACACAGCAATAAAATGGAATGAAGTACTGCTACATGTTACAACATAGATGAAACTTGAAATCATTTAGCCAGACAACAAAGGCCACATATAGTATGATTCCGTTTATATAAACTCTCCAGAAAATACAAATCTCTGAAGACCGAAAAAGTAGACTAGTGGCAGGAACAGGGATCAACTACCAACAGGCAAGAGGGAATTTTTTAGGGTAATGGAAATGTTTTCAAATGGATTATCTGATGTTTGCACAACTCTGAGCTTTAAACAGCCATTGGTTAAGATGATAGTTTTGTGTGTTTAAAATATTTCTTAGGGGCACCTGGGTGGCTCAGTCGTTGGGCGTCTGCCTTCGGCTCAGGTCATGATCCCAGGGTCCTAGGATCGAGCCCCACATCGGGCTCCCTGCTCCGGGGAGAGCTTGTTTCTCCCTCCCCCACTCCCCTTGCTGTGTTCCCTCTCTTGCTGTGTCTCTCTCTGTCAAATAAATAAATAAAAACTTTAAAATACATAAAATATTTCTTAAAAACCACTTCCCTCCAGAAGATTCTGGTAAAACTGCTTCCAGCCAGTCCTATTCTGTGTATGGGACAGAAGTTTTCTTCACCTAAGCGTACTTGCAAATATTTTAGGTAAAGATTAAAGACTTTCATATAAAGTTATGAAAATAAGCAAGTTGGTCATTAAACCCTGACACAGCTTTCTATTATAACTATTTTTATTTTAAGTTATATATATAAATATTAATAGATAATATTAAATTCATGATCAAAGGAAACAATGTACTTTCATAAACACTGCTATAGTATACCTCTTGTTTTCCTTTTAGAAAAACAATTGGGGCAGTTGGAGAAAAAAAATATCCTGAAGAAATGGTCAAAAGACACAAATAAGCAACTCAGAAAATGAAATACAAATTGTTTATAAATATTTTAAAAATACTCATCCTCACTGGTAACCAGAGGAATGCAAATTAAACAAGGGAAATATTTTCAACCATAAATTTTAGCAAGGAATGATGATGGTGGTGGTAGAATGCTAAAAGGATTTAGAATTAGCACAATTAGGTAATTCAAAGTGGTGCTGAAAGTGGGGCTGTAAGCAGAAATATGAATGATTAAGAGGCAGATCCCTCTATTCCTCCACATTCTACATCTGGGTGATTCTCCCTACCCAAGGCCAGCAGAGGACTTTTCTTTAGAGAGGGTAAACCAGATGGGCTGTGGCTCAGGGATACCAGGGAGAACTGAGAACAAGGAATCTGTACAAAAATAGGGATTAAGTGAAAGTTTGTAAGGGATGAAATAAAAGTCTACAAGCTGAAAATTGAGCCCCAATCCCTTCTCTAACAGCCCCAAGAACTTACTGGATTGCCACTAGGTTTATTAATCTCTAGCCAAGAGTTGGAAGATTCTTCTTTGGAGAATATGACCAACTGAAGAGAAAAATCCTAAATATCCTAAAGGTAATGGTTGGAGATCCTCCAATAAAAAGGCCTTGCCAATTTATCCTATAGTAAGTTAGCAAGACCTACCTACAATTTAGTGTCTATTCCTGAATATAAATGGACAACCAAGAATCACCAGATAGTTGAGGAATATCTCTAATAGAAGAAAGACCAGGGGCACCTTGGTGGCCCAGCAGGTTAAGCGTCTGACTCTTGGTTTCGGCTTAGGTCATGATCTCAGGGTTGTGGCACTGAGCCCCATGTTGGGCTTTATGCTCAGCACGTAGTCTGCTTGGGATTGTCTCCATTTCTCACTCTCTCCTTGCTCTCTCTCTCAAATAAATAAATAAATAAATAGTAAGACCAAAACAAAATTGAAAGATAAAGAAAGCTGGAAGAAACAAACCAGGAAAACTAAAACATTTTTTTAAGATTTTATTTATTTATTTGAGACAGGGAGAGAGCATGAGCAGGGAGAGGGGCAGAGAGAGAGGGAGAAGCTGACTCCCCACTGAGCAGGGAGCCCGACGTGAGGCTTGATCCCAGGACCCTGAGAATATGACCCAAGCCTAAGGCAGACGCTTTACCAACTGAGCCACCCAGGCGCCCCAGGAAGAATAAAACATTTTTAAAAATCATTAATATCATCAGAGAGAAGATACTGTATCCATGAAATAAGAACTGGATGCTATTTAAAACACACATACACAAATCATAAAACAATACAACAAGCTCTTGCAAACTAAAAATTATGACAGGAAGCAAAGATCAATAGAAAGACTGGAATAAAAAGCTGAGTACTTATCTGAGAAAATTTAACAAAAATACAGCAGAAACCTAATTCCAGAAAATTCCCCCAAACTGATAGAAATTAGTTTCTTGATTGGAAAAGCTCACTGAATACCACCTTAATGGATGAATTAAACCTACACGAAGGCACGTCATCTGATATTTCAGTATTGTGGGGAAGATCCTGAAAACTTCCATAGGAAAAAAAAAACCATGAAAATGAAGGGGTCACATAAATGTTCAGGAGTCAGAATGGACCTCAATCTAGAAGACAATGAACAACATTTTCAAATGTTTAAGAGAAAATTATTTCCAAGCTAGATTTTGATAGCCAATACTATCAATTGTGAGGGTAGAATAAAGACCTCTCCCCAAAGAAAACAAAAACAGTAATTTGAAAAGACATATGCACCCTTATGTTTATTGTAGCATTATTTACAATAGCCAAGATGTGGAAGCAACCCTAGTGTCCATCGATAGATGAATAAATAAAGAAAATGTGGTGTATATATACTATGGAATATTACTCAGCCATAAAAATGAAATCTTGCCATCTCCAACAACATGGATGGTCCTAGAGGGCATTATACTAAGTGAAATCAGTCAGAGAAGACAAGTATCATATGATTTCATTCATATGTGGAATTTAAGAAACAAAACAAATAAAA